TTTAAAATTTTTAATATTGTTATACTAGTTTATTTATAAAATTCAAATGCCTTGTTTTCCAGAAAAGGATCTTTCCATTTCCTTCACCCTCCACTCATTAAATTGTACAACCACATGATTAATCTCCCCTCTCCCTGCAGATCCTCATCCTTCTATCGCAACTCCCCTCCCCCACCCCTGCCTTTGGCTCATCATACTGATTCTACAATAATGGTTTTATACAATATTTGTTATTGTGTGACTGAGTCAGTTCATTCAGCATAATGTTCTCCTTTCCCTCCCAAGTAAGGTAATAGTTTACAAAATCATTACTCTGTAGTGCTCTGTGTATGCTGTGTAGTATTCCTTTGTGTGAATGTACTATAATGTCTCAATCCATTTGTTAGTGGTTCGCTATCTGGGATGTTTCCATGTCCTTATGAGTAAGTTCCTTTCTCACCACATCCTTTCCAAAGTTTATTACTTGTTGTCCTGTTAAACTTTGTCACTGTTACTGAAGTGAGATGATACCTCATTGTGGTTTTAGTTTGCATCTGTCTTATTGCCAATGATTTGGAGCATTTCTTCATGTCTGCCATTCGAATATCTTGCTCTTTAAAAATTCTTTCCATGTTTTTGCCCATTTTGTAATTGGATTTTCAGTCTTTTTCTTGGGGAGGCCCAGGAATATTCTGTAAACTTTGTTATGAGACTGTTTGTCTGAGATGAAATTACCAAATGTTTGTTTCCAGTTGGTAGGTTTTCTTTTCATCCTGTTGGAAAAAGGTTTTGATGCACACATGGATTTAATCTTTAGAAGGTCACATTCATCAATTTTATCCTCTTCAGATTGTGCATTTCTGGCTGTGTTGGGCAATTTCTTTATACATTGAACTAGCGCTTCTAAGTTGATCCCATTTTGTCTCTTATGAACTTCATGGTTTTGGGCTTTGTTCCCATGTCTCTGACCCACTTTGAGTTGATGTTTGTGTATGGTGTGAGATGTGGATATTCGATTCCTCTAATTATTTTAGATTGTAAACATATTCTGTGGGAAAGACCAGGGTGGAGGAATGAGAGATTATAATTGACAAAACCTAGTATATGACTGATAAAAAATTTAAATAAGAATAGAATAAATTCAAGAGATGTATAGACATAAAGGGAGAAGAATGCAGTTTTAAAAGATAAGAGGCAAGAGAGGAGTTCGGCACAGAGGGAAGGATATATGGTACTTGGAAGATGTTCAAATAGACACTCTAGAGTTCCAGGAGAACCATGAGTCAGAGATGAACAACTCTGGGAGTCATTACCATGGAATCTGAGTAAACAAACGACTGAGAAAAGAACCATACAGAGAATCAACAACAGTGGCCAATGGAAACAGCAAAAACTAGTACAGTTAGAGTAAAGCACCTGTTAAGGGTAATGGAAAAATCAGTAAATGAATAATGGTGGTGGTTAAACTTCATGATTCAGCAACATCATTGAGTCACACATATAAAAAGTGATGAAATGGCAGATTTCTCCTTAGATATACTTAAAGTAGTAATAAAAATAATGAAAAGATTTTGGAGATTAAGTAAAAGGAAGTAATGGATGTACAGAATTTTAGAAAAAAGAAGTGGTTGATAGTAAGATGACCACGATTGCTTGCAGTGTTGTTAGGACTGGCGATTTAGGACCACCCTGGTGACCTATTTGAGAGTAGTTTCGGGGTGTCAGTAGAAACAGAAATGTAATTGGGTTAGGTTAAAATAAAGCATGTGAAGAACTAACCAAGGGCTGTGTCTTACAGGAGGGAATTACATTACAGTTAAATGAGGAACCAAAGTTAAGGATGGTGTTTGCCTGTTTCTTTGCTCCCTCTATGCCTTCTCTTCTTCCTCTTTTGTTCTTTATTTCAGTTTTAGAAATACTGCAAGAATATTGAATGGCTTGCACTGGCGATATGGAAAAGAAAGGGAGTGTACAAGGTGTTTGGAAATAGTGCACATCGTGCAAATTTGTGACTAACCTGCTCCTTCATTTATGAAATATATTCTCTTTATTAACTACCGTTATGTAGTGGGACACGTTCACAATTGTTTCTAATTTGTCTTACAGGAATAAGAAGCTAATGAAAAGATTACTAGCATTGGGGAAGAAGACTAAGAAGCCTGATGTGAACAGAGCAACATCACTTCTTTTGGAAGGGTAAATTCTTAGTAAACAAAAAATGGTGGGGAGACTCAATTTTAAATGCTATACATCCCACTGATCGCTACGTCATGACTTCTGATGCCTCAGCTACCACTAAGAAGGCCTTACAGACCCAGAGGTACACAGTTCAAATCCAATAGATGCTCTGTTGGAGAAGAAGGGGCAACAGTCAGACCCGACTGTACCAGTCAGACCCGACTTGAAGGTACACATAAAAAAATAATACAGTAAAAATAAGAAAATAAAAAAAAAATGCCTTACATAGACTTAAGATTGCCTAAAGGAAACTGTAGTTGCTTTTCTTAATGAATTGAGATAAAAAGGCTTCCCCATCAATTCCAATTCAAATGGTCCTCTGTGTATTGGTCTCCTATAATACATTTAGTAGTGTTCTGTTATGGAAAAATATATTTTACTATTATTTAGACTACAATTTATTTTTATTACTTTTAGAATTTATGTTCTCAGTATATCAAAAGTACATAACATCTTTTTATACTTGTGAAATGGTTCTCATTGCTAAAATGAAAAAAAAGATGAGAATTCCTTCTGCAATTATATTTTGTGTCTATATTTGTACAATAAAGTTCTTGTAAGAATTGCTGAAAAGTTTATGTAATTGTATTTTTTAATTGCTTATTTGTTCTTCACAGTGATTGTTCTAGTTGACAGTGACTATTATTATTGTTAGATGTCAGCAAATCACGGATGGTTCTTAGTGACCCTGTGAACAATAGACCTGAACTCTGACCTATCCTGTGCCATAATCATCATCATTTCTGACTAGTAATGATACTGATTAGCAATGCATTAATAAGAAGGCTGTTATTAATACAATAACTTTTGAAATTTTGACGAACTACTTAGGGCAACATAGTTCTCTTGGTGTGGTTTTGCTTTGGTTTTGTGTGTTTGGGATTTTTTTTTATTATTTTAATGAAAGTTTAAAGAGAATTTGGATTTTCTTTCATACGTTGTTGCACACTTTCCTCTCTACTCACTCCTGCACCCAGTTCACTTTTCTCTTTGAAGAAAAAAAAATTATTTCATTGTTACACAATCCTCTGTCCCCAAGCCACTTTCTTATGCAGCTCTTATTCTGGACTCTTGCCATGAAAATAGTACCTAATCAGATATTCCTTTTAAACAGGGTTCAGGTTCTTTTGTTCATGGGGTCACTATGAGTTGTGTTCAATTTGATGGCACCTAACAACATCAACATCTATATACCAGTAGAGGAGCTCTGGTGGCATAGCCAGTAGGGAACTGTTACAGGAAAACCATGGTTCTGCTGCCTGTTTCCAGGAAGACCAGTCTTAGAGATAGCGTAGAATGGAACAAGCAGACATTTTATTTGCCAGCAAATAGTCAAGGAATATATTAATTCCAGAAACCTTTCTCATACTTATTTATAGGCTAGATTGAATTCTTGGGGGAAAGCTCATGTTTATTCGCAGCTTTTAGTGAGCCCTGGTGGCTTAGTGGCAAGAAATTGCACTGCAGTCCCAAAGGCGTGTGGTTCGAATCCACTAGCTGTTTCACAGGTAAAGGATGGGTATCTCTTGTGAGCAATTAACTGCCTCTGAAAACCCGCTAGACTCTACGTATGTTCTGACTCAGTGGTACACAATAACTAGGTTTAAGTTCTTATACAAAAGCTCATGTTTATTGAGCACTTTTAGGAAGGAAAGGGGAGATTATTTTCCTTAAATGCACAGATGGAGGTCCTCAAAAATGTGATCTTTCTGCTGAGCTGTTGAATCATCACAGAATACGTCCTGTAGATTTTCTCTCAAAATGACACTGATCTAGTTGGGTGCTGGGTCCTCACAGAACATGACCCTTCAAGATGGCTGCCCTCTAGCAGTTCATGCAAGGAACATTGTCAGGGCACTTGAAATCTCTTCATGTGATATGCTGTTCAATGGAACGCCAACTCATAACAACACCTCTGAACCTTGCTCTATTCTGTGCTATCCTCCATACTTAAGCCCATTGTTACAATCACTCTGTCAATCTATCTCCTTGCGAGTATTCCTCTCTTTCCCTGACCCTCCACCTTTCCTAGCATGATGCATTTTCCAAAGCCTGGTCCTTCCTGATAACATACTCAAAGCTTGTGAAACAAAATTTCGCCATCTTAGATTTTAAGGAGCAATTTAGTTGCACTTCTTCCAAAATAGACTTGTATGGTCTTTTGAGAGTTGATGGGAAAGATCTGACAACTCTTCCCTTGTGATTTACAGTCTCTTTAAAACCTGTTGGAAGGGTGAACAATGAGTTATTTCGGTCTCCATGACAAGGATTTTAATTCTCAAAGTCCCAATTAAACGGTGTCAATTTTTCTATCATCCTTATTCATTGTCCTACTTTCAGATGTATAAAAAACAATTGAAAATACCTAGTTTGAATCAGGCACACCTTAGTCTTTTAATGTCTTTGCCCTTTAGAACTTTGGAGAGCTCTTTGACAGCACATTTTCCCAGTGGACTATGTTTGTTTATGGTAGAGTTGTTGCTATTGTTATGTGCCCTTTAGTCTCTTGGGATTCAGCAACCTTATATACAACAGCCCTGGAACCTACTCTAACCTGTGCCAACTTTACTGTCTCTGACACACTTACCCTTATTGCCCTAGTCACTATATCAATCCATCTCATCGATGGTTTCACTCTTTTTCTCCATGCCTTCATCCTTCCAAGCATGATGTCCCTCTCCAAAGACTGGTCACTCCTTAAGAGTAAAGATAAATTTATTAAAAGTAGCACATCCCAGAGGAAGGACTTTCCTTACCAGAAAGTAAAACCTTTGATTTCTTTCTTTTTTTTTTTCTTTTCTCCCCCTTGTTGTGTACCATCAAATCAGATCTGACTGGAACAGGACATTACCCTTCCTTCTCAAGCAGAGCATCTGGTGGACTCAATCTGAATGCTTAACCACTGGACCAAAAGGAAATACCATAGAAGGAGAAAAAAAAATTGAAGCTGTCAACAATTTCATTTTACTTGGATTCACATCATCATTCATGGTAACAGCAGTGGGGAAATCAAATGATGAGGGAGCCCTAATAGCCTAGTTGCAAGAAACTGCACTGCAATTCTGAAGGCAGGGGCGGTTCGAGGCAACCAGCTGCTCTGTAGGAGAAGGATGGGCAATCTCCTCCCACCATTAACTGCCTTTGAAAACCTGCCAAAGGATCAGTGGTTTGGTTCCTACTCTGACATACAGAACAATAAGCCTGTGATCATCCGTGATTGTCTGCATCAAATCTTCACTTTCTGCAAGCAAGGTTGTGTCTGCTGCATAATGCAGGTGGTTGATGGATCTTCAACCAATCCTGATGCAACATTCTTCATAGACTCCAGCTTCTTGAATTATTTACTCAGCATACAGATTGAATTGGTATGGAGAAAGGATATCTCTGACACACATCTTTCTGATTTTTAAACCATTCAGTATTCCCCTGTTGGTTTTGGACAACTGCTTCTTGGTCTAGGTATATATAGTCTTTGCATGAGCACAATTATGTGTTCTAGATTTTCCGTTCCTCTCAATGTTAGCCATAATTTGTTATGATCCATACAGTCAAATGTTTTTGCAGAGTCAATAAAACACACACATAAATATCTTTATGATATTGTCTGCTTTTAGCCAAGATCCACTGACATCAGCAATCTTGATTATCTGGTAGTTCTCTATCAATACACTGTTCCAATTCTTTTTGAATAATCTTCTACAAGATTTTTCATATGGAATGAAGTTCAACATCAAGAAAACAAAGTTTCTCACCACTGACCTGATGGGCAGCATCGTGTTAGATGGTGAAGAATATTGTTAACAGCTTTAGTCTCCTTTTTTTCCACAATCAACACTCTTGGCACCAGCATCCAAGAAATCAAAAGACAAATTGCGTTGGAAAAGTCTACAGTCAAAGGCTTTTCCAGAGTACTGAAAAGCAACAATGTCAATCTGGAGACTAAGGTTTAGCTGATCCAGTCTTCGTAATTGATAGCTGTGTGTCAGAAATCTGGACAATGAATGGGGATGATAGAAGGAGAATCGCCTTTGAGCTGTGGTGCTGGAGAAGAGTATTACATATACTATGGACTGCTAGGAGAACAAACAGGTTTGTTCTGAAGAGGTGAATACAGGCTGCTCCTGGAGGCAAGGATTCTGAGGCTTTGTCTGACATACTTTGGACATGTTGCAAGGAGGAACCAGTCCTTGGAGAGGGATGTTATTCTTGGAAGGGTGGAGGTACAGTGAAAGAGAGGAAGACCATCAATGGCATGGATTGATTCAGTGACTAGTGTAATGAGGGTAAGTGTATAAGGTTGGCACAGGATAGAGCAGGTTTTAGGGCTATTGTACTTGGAGTTGCTATGATTTACATGGGGCTTGATGTCAGATAACAACAGCATGATATTGTTAGATAATTTCCACTTTGATCACTTTTTTTTTTTTAAGTACAGAGAGATCTCTTTTAGTCAGTGGGTCAAGATATCTTCCAACTATCTTGGCATAGACTACCGAGTGCATTTAGAGCTGCATCTATTTGTTGAAACCCACCAACTGGTAGTCCATCAATCCTACCATCTTTTTTGGGGGGCTGATGCCTTCAATGCAGCTTGAACTTGTTCATTCTTTACCATTGGTTCTTGATCATGTGCTACTTCCTGAAATTATTGAGTGCTAATAATTCTTTTTGGGACCTGATTCTGTGTATTCCTTTCATCTTCTGATACTTCCTAATATCATTCTGTAAGGATTTCCTGTAAGATTTCTTCCATAGAATCCTTTTGTATTGTAACTCGAGGTATGACATTTTTACTTTCTCTAATTCTTTCAATTTTTGACATGTTGAATATGTTCTTTCTTTTAGCTTTCTAACCGCTTAGTTAATTGCACTTTTCAGCATAATACTTATTCTTCTAGAGCTGCCCTTTGAATTCTTTTGTTCATCTCTGACATCAGAATGTCCTCCCCTCATTTTGGCCTG